AGAGCATAACTCAAAATCCATGAATTCTATAAGAAGTCACTTACCATTAAAAAAATTTGACATCCCTAGATCAACCTAATTTAGTTACAACTGTGAAACCAAAGATATCAAGGAATATATGATTAAAGAAAATATTTTTCGAGGAATCAAGTTTGAGATGTTAGCCAGGCTTTTAAGATTGCAGATTTCTTCTGTACAATATGCCAATCTTGTTTGTTCTGGTGATTCATCAAGAAAATTTTTCAGTCACAGAATGATGTTTGAGATGTTAGCTCCTAAAGTTGTAGATTTCTTCAGTACAACATGTCAGTCGAAGAACCATGTTTTAGATGTCAGTTTCACTCTTAAAGTCGTAGACTTCTTCAGTTGTATATCTCAATCCAGCCAGAACAACAATCCTGGCCTGGTCATTGGTAACGACAATTTTTGAGTCGAAGTATTATGTTTGAGATGATAGTCAGACTTCTTTAGTAGAATATTTCAATCTAGCTATACCTGGTCATTGGTAACGAAACTTTTTTAGTTGAAGAACCATTTTGAGATGTCAACCAGACTCTTAAGATGGTAGACTTTTCTAGTACAATTTGAAGATCTTGTTTGTCTTGATGATTCGTAAAGAAAATAATCCGTTTCGATTTGGATTTTTTGAATAGTTTTGTAACATTGAGCTAAGTTATGTGTTAGTCGATGTTTCCTGGTAAATCTTGAACTTTTTTCAAATTGTTGCGGTATTTTACGTGTTCCTGCCATACTTCATATTAATTACTGCTTTGACATTTTATCTGAAAGCAGCTACATTGATTAAGAGAAGATTAAGTAAAGTGTATAGGGCATTTAAAAAAGCCAACCTTAAGCATCCTATAATATTATTGGTTAATGTGATAGTTGATCTCTTGGGGGACATATTGAACTTTCTTCAGAATGCTACAATGTTTGATATGTGGTTTCTATTCTTCAACACATTTAATTATAATTTCGAGAGAAAAGTTCTTCGAAAGATCTTTAGTCCCCTTCAAGTTGGCGATGACTACCGCATGCGAATGAACCACGAGCTATATGAGTTCTTTCGCGACATTGATATAATTCAGTGAATTAACATATAGCGGATTCGCTGGCTTGATCGTGTCGTGAGAATAGATGAAGATGCTCCAGTGTAAAATGTATTTAAAGCAGTAGTTGGAGAAAGAAGGCGTATAGGTAGACTGTGTCTCCGGTAGAGTGATTAAGTTAAGGGATCGGACTGGACATATAAGATTGGAGAAGGTGCATACGCTGCAGTGGCGCCTGGATAGACAAGTTGCGTTAGGTCGAAATCCGGTTTGTTATTACTATTTTAGTTATATATTTAAAAACTTCTGAAACAATTGCCTGGAGATTTAAAGAAGTATATGGATGTTTTAAAGGAATCAACTTTAAGCATCCTATAAATTTTAACTTTCAAATCATATGGCTCCACTATTCTAACAATTTCTAGCAGTGGTCACATTTAAGTGGACGGACAAATGATTGCACGAGCGTCGAAAACATTGAAAATCGGAAAACGGAACGATTTACGGTTACGACTATTGCGCCTTCTCAGGCATAAATTTTCCTGCAAAACAAATAGCAGAGCAACAGTGGCAGGCATAAAAATATTTACATTAAACAATTTCGGCGGGCTCGAAACGAGGTCGCTCATAAAAAATGCTTTCGCAAAAGGAAATAATGGACAAGCCAAAAAAAAAAGAATGGAAAAAAATTAAAAAAATTAAGAAGAAATATTGGACAAAAAAATAAAAAAAAATTGGGTATATAAAAATCTGTGGCGTAAAATATTAAACTTAGTTGCTTTCGACTTCGTATATTTTGCGCGATGTCAACTTTAATGGAAAAACGCCATTTAAATTGTGTTTATTGAGTGCCACTTTCAAAAATGAATGCCAACAGCAACAGCAACATCATCAACAACACAACAACAGCAACAACAGCAACAACAATGACAACAGCAACAGCAAACAAAATGACAGAATATCGTAGTCGATTACAGTTTCACCGAAGTTTATTGGTTAGAATCGGACGCAGTTGTGAGGACGCGCTGAAATGCATTGCCATGAATTTTGTTTTGAATCATTTAAAAAATGCTTTCACATTTACAGAAACTAACTGCAGATATTAAATAAATGTGAAAATATAAACCCATTTAATATTAAAGATATATTTAGAAACAATTGCAAGAAAAACTTTAGGTATTTTGACAATATGATTACTCATACGACCTGTGGTCCTAACAAATATATTCAAAACCTATTTGATGCATAGACTTCGTGGCCATATCGTGGCAATAGAAGAAAATACTGCACCTGGAAAGATGCTTTATTCGGTACCCGTTAAAGGAAGAGGAGGACGGTAGGAGGACCAATTGCCCAACGATTTGAAGGCACTCGTTACTACTAACTGGTAGGGCTGGCTAGCTGGTGGAAGCTACTGAACGACTCATGTCTTTAATAGCCAACTAAGTAAATAAAGTTGGCACAATTTTAAAATAGACATTACGGTATTGTATATATATCGTTTATATATAACGATATAAATAAATCATGTACGTTAAATAGCATGGTATAGTTATAATTAATTGGAGATAATCTCAATAGATCAGATAAAAACAAGTTTAAAAAATGAAAACTGCTTCGCAGACAATGAAACTAGATCCAAAATTACTACCCTTATAACACTTTGCCTGTAAGTTTTACAATGCATGCTTATGATTAGTGTATATGAATCCAATACCAAAATTTCAGAGGTAATGGGTATGTGGCCGACCCATTGCTTCCAAGCTGAAATTCACGCAATCAACTTATATGTAAGATCTAATATCACCAAAAAATCTTCTGACTCGAGAATTGTTATTTGCTCAGATAGCTAGGCTGCTCTTAAAGCTCTGTGTTCTTGTAGTTTCCAGTCGAAACAGGTTCTCGAGTGCTACGAGCTTCTACAGTTACTTGCGCCTCGAAATAAGGTAAGTTTTTTTTGGGTTCCGGGTCACAGAGGAGTTTTGGGAAATTAACATGCTGATAAGCTACCCAGAATTGCATCAAAAATGGTTATTATAGACTCTCAGCACAAAACAAATAATCAAGGAAATGGAGAATAATATGCAGTTGCTGTACTAGGAAGACTTCCTAGATCTTAGATGAAGCAAAGCAATGATTATACCGTACTCCTACAAAAATATTCTCGGGATATCCATTTGCCTTGGAATCGCTTGAATACATTTTTAATATATTCAGAACAGTACATTGGATTCAATATCTATAAATTTCTCAATTAAAATATAATCGAACCAAGATAATTAACTGTGTAGATGATTCTCGTAATTGCCACTATCCAAAGATTCGATTCAAAGAAGGTTTCTCATGTGTCAGTGCCCATCTTTAGCCAGAAAAAGATCAAAAATCTTGGGGGCCCCTTTTCTGACCGATCTGACTGAGCTGTTATCCTACAATGTGAGGGACCTGGCCAGATTCATAAAACTGTCGGGTTGGTTTTCCTTCACCTAATGAGGAAGTCGTTGCCTCTCTGTTGGGCGTTGGTCGTATACTAATTACCTTATCTATATATGAACGTCGCTTTTTCCATGTGGTACCACATGGTACATGGTATTTGTGTTCAAGTGGGCTTTCTTGGTAAACAAGGCCGCCACTCCAACCAACCAACCAAGAAGCTTGCAAATTTTGTAAAATACTTCCATTTTAACTACACATGTCCTGTCATTTTTCAGTTACAGATTGTTTGTACAATTTCTTAATACTTCCAATTGATTCTTTCACTAACATTTCAAGAAGTTTTTGAATTTGAATTAGTAGTTTTATGAGTGCTACTGATCGATGAGACTATATATCCAATCTACATAGCCTATTATGCCACTCTTCATCATAATCTGTTTCAGACGAATTCATTCACTTGCTGTGTATCACAACACTTGCTTCAAAATCGTTGCTAGAAGATGATGGGCGTCGGTCTACACTGGAATAATGGTTTGGTGCTTTGTATATGCATCTTTCGAACACAATAATGTTATCTGATATATTAAATTTAAAGCTGAGCTTTAAACCTTCTGTACACTTTTAATGTTATTCTGCCATAATAATTATCATTACTTTGTTTTTTTTTTTAAAGACTAAGCAAAAGAAATATGTCAGACTGATGGTTTCTGTCGAATTGAAAATGGGGTAGTAGAGTGAAAATTAAAAATCCGAAAAGTGATTTTGGATTTAAATACCCATTAGTTTGTTTCTTCGTATATTGTATTTAAACTTTATGTTGAATGTTATGAGCTTTGTTAAATATACGACGCAGAATCGTATATTTACACACTCGCCTAAACTATTTTTTATTGCTGAACAAGTAGCATTTTAGTACAGTAACCCTATAGATGAAATGAGTCTTTGAGAATGTAGTAAGTCACATACATGTTGAAAACCGTCTCTGGGTCTGGATCTACAATTTGTTTATGCATCATAAACAGATTACTAAATTTTTTCGACTATTTATCATATATATGTATACTGAATTAAGCTAGATCAAAAATGTTTAGGTTTTCGTAGACAGTCGTAGTTCTTTTTAAAATAATCGAAACTCTGTAGATAATACAGTCACTTGACTTTATAATTTTGGTATTATACGAGTAATATGTAGTCCAGCTTACTTCTTGAAACCACACTTCAAAGTCGACAACTAATTGATGCAAACTCTCGTCAAGATTACACCAATCGCTTGAAGGGTGACTACCATTTATTTGATTTTCTTTTTCTCTCTGCCATTATACATATGTATTATATTTGTCTGTTATATATATACTACTTTTTTTCATGCCTTTTCTTATTGTTTAACTTATTTGTTATGCAATTAATTAAATTTAAAATTATTTAAAACAAAAAATTATTTATTTCATTGATAAAACTTTTATATTGAAAACGTAGTTTAGTATAATAAAAGCTATACTAAAAAGACGAAAAAATTAAATAAAAGATCAATTTCTGGAGTACTTGAAAGAAGGTATTAAACGTTTACATTGAAGCCTTTTGGAATTTAGATAAAACTGAAAAAAAAAAATTTTAAACAGTTATGTTTTACCTATAATTTAAGAATATACCTACAGCGATATTCTTTGCTTCTTTTTTGTCTCACCTTATTATTTTATTTTAAGGTAGCAATGATCTAAAAAGAGTCCAGGACCCTGTTAGCTTAAGCGACAATGCGAGCGCTGTAAATGCAATTGCTAAGTCACTTCCACAACAAATATCATAAAAGATACTCAGCATTAAGCTGGTTTCTTCGTGGGTGCTGCAGAAATTGTAGAACTTTTGTACCAAAGGAAGCCAAATGTAATTGACAATCAATTCTGATAAATATATAATGAGCACGCGAAACAGAACGTTTACGAACTTCTGACCATTAACAGATATTGGATTACGAAATTTTATTTTAAGGCGGTCAAGAAAAAAAAGCATGGCTGCTAGTAGAACAGTAGAAGTGAACCATTCAGCTGGTATTTCGGTTCCATATCCAATTTTCCAAGTAAGCCATATATGCAAAAGTGTGCCGATTAGTGGTATCAAAAGAATTTCCATTGATCTCATACTGCGTAGTACTGGGGAATAAACCATATAGCAATTATCCATTTTTATCAAATCTTATTCACAGATACGACCAGAACTGATTTCAATAATTCTAAGCGACGTCTTCGATGTTAATTTGTTGTTTCTCAAACTCAATTATTTTTATCGATAATTTTTACAGCGACCTTACAGATTTATATACATTCGAAACGTCAACTGAAAAAAAATATGAAATTATTAAAAATTATTTATAAAATTATTTAAAAAAATTTTTGAAGGGAAATTGATTGATTGCTATATGTAAATATATGTATTCACAAATACATGTATTTTATATTTAAAAACCTACACAATTTAAAAATTATAAAACATTTGCAAAAGATACTGACATAATATTTTTTCTGTAAGTTGTTAGCACTAGCGAAGAATTACTCCCCTAGACATTAAAGTCGCATCCAGGCAGATCAACGGTGATACACAAAATGTGAACACGTCTACTTGTTGGGATGCGCTTCCATTGAAGCATTGCAACAATAGTACAATCGCCCCTTAGAAGTTCAGTAAGCACAGGAACACAAGTTTGCTGAAATCTAAAAACTCTTTTGTTCTTCTCTTATCTACTCTAGATCACTGACTCTTAGTAACTTTACAGTCTATACGATAATTCTATAAGTCATATAGAATTCTATATACGCCATTCCATAAATGACTTATAACTTGTACTGTGTCGAGAGTTAATGAATTTTCATATCTTAACCACTTGGAGCCTGTAAGTTTTTTTGTGACACCATAACTCTGAGTGAAAACTCATAATGGTAGTAGTTTAAGTATCAGATTTTTTGCTTTTCTGAGCAGTTAAGTACCTTAAGCTATCAAACCGTTACTAACCTATGGTATGTATACAACAATCATTAGACCCTTTTCGTGGTAGTCGTTAAATTTGAAATGCATAACAATGAATTTTCTATCTAATGACTACCACGAGAAGGGTCTCACGATCGTTGTACACATACCATAAGTTATTTAAGTTTGTAATCCCCTTGTATATCAGTTTACAAACATTGTAAGCAACCACTCTCTTCATACCATAGCTTTTACTCAGCATATATAGTATATATATAGTATATAGCATAATATATAATATAGCCTGGATTATATTGATTATATAGAGATGTGGCCAAGTTAAATGTGTAACACTACAATTAAATATCATTTCACGATTTTAGTTATTTATTGAAACATCTTTTGGATCTTTTGCGACAATGCCATTATCCTATCAATTGTTAAAAAAGTAGCAGTCAGTCTTGGCTATTTGTGGAAAAACACGATTAGTCATCGCTTCCAATTTGGCAAGCACGACTATTAAGCCTGGTACTTGCAGTCCAAACAAATTATACACCAACTATAAACTAGTTTAAATGGTGAATACTTGGCAATATTAGAAGAAGCCTTGTACGGTCAGCTTAACTTCGATAAATTAACAAAAATTTTTGTTATTGTCTTTTTATTTCTACTCAAAACCTTTTAACTTTTAAAACATTTTCTTTGGGTTGTATTTTTGTACTTAGAAAAGCATTACACGATATCATAGCTGTATAATAATGATATAATATTTTTGTACAAAAATTTCGTGAAAATGGATTCCTAGACATATTACAGTTATTTTTGATCTTAAAGGGTTACATGCATATTATACAAGTTTTACTTTAATAATTATGGCTTAAGTATCTGCATATGTGATGTCCTCTTTTTTTGCGCTTTGGCACTATTCTATGCTTTTTTTTTGTTCAAGTACTCGCTATTTATCACGCTATCTTACACAAAACTATTTGAAGGCACTTCCACAGGAAAAGTACCAGACATATACTGAGCCATTTTTATTTAATGAGTTTGTAATATAGCACGAATTATAAGATTGAGTTCACATTTACATATTCACATTAACATTGGAGTATTATATATTTACATATGACCTTAATTCTTAATAAATTTTAATTCATTATTAATTTTAGTTCATCACATTCTTAGACGTGGTCTTGTTTTAATAGCATATTAATGTGAAGATTTTAAAACTACACTACCTGCAAACAAAAAAGGTACAGGAATTTATTTTAATTACTTGTGGGTTATGATTATTTAAATGGATGGATTAAATGGATAAAACTCTTTTCAGACATTCGGAATTAAGAAGTAAAAGTTTAATAATCACAATTTTTTGAAGTCTACTAGGGATCATCCGTTAAGAATAAAAACTTTATCTCAGCACTAATTTATATAATAATAAGAGGATTAATCTGTTAGCGTCTAGTAAATATAATTTTAGTACATTTGCTCTCACCCATTAACATCAGTATAATTGAATCCTGTTTGCTTTTAGACATCATAATAGAGAGGAATATCTCTTAAATAGATAATCCTTTGATAATTTAACAGATAAGGACGTTCAATGTTTATGATACTATACCCATAAATAAAATAATTTTATTAGAATTTCGGAATATTTAGAACAAGTTTATAAGAATATTAGTATATTTATAAGGTCTGTCCAAAGAAAGGTAGACTAAGGCCCGGCATGCAAGCGAATATATTTCTGGTAAAATAATATTATATAGCGTATGTCTTTGGTATAGCTACGCAAAATTGTCGATGTACTGCTAAATGAATCATGCGTTGTTATTTAACGTTTTTTTTGGGAGGAATCAGTGTTTTATGCTACAATCAAGTTTGAGAGATTACCGTCAGACTCCATAATTAATATAAATTGGAAGAAATATTTTGATATATGACACATAGAGAGGACACGTCATAAGTAGACCAAGAATTTGGGTAATTAATAACAAAGTAGCCTTATAGTAATTATAATAACAACAGAAAACTACAAGTAAAACTGTTTTTCAATTTCTCTGTTCTAGTACATTACCTGGTCAAGTTACTCTATTATGCAAGTAGATTTAAGTTGGATTTCTAGTATAATTTTAGTATAAAATTAAAAATTATATACAGGTAATGATAGATATCAGTAGTAGTCCCTCTCAAAAAAACCACTGTTTATGTAGATCCTAAAATTTGATCCATTATTACAAATGGAGACTCTAGAGTGGATATATGCTTTTTAGTGTGAAACAATAATAGGGTAGACAAAAAACATTTCTCTTTGATCCATTGCTACGACACATAGCTTTGGAAAAAGTCAGTAACCGATCGGCATACTGTTTAAAATATATTAAGTACGGCGTCCTATAAGTACGACAGTAGTATTAGATAGTGAAGGGCGACGAAGACTAAACAGTTGCTTCGATCCATTCCTTTCCTTTTTAGTGGCTTACATGCCATTTGATATGTGTGCTCTATTTATTGTCTTTTGTCTACATTTTTAACGTATTCTGTAAATATAGTCAATTTAACTGCAATAAAGAGATTCTCAAAATAATTGAATCTGATGTTATAAAAGTAGTCAATTTGTTGACTTTATAATTGCCAAGAATAGTGTTTTGAAATGGTAGCCGTATTAGATTAACTGTTAAATGCGCCAATATTTCACGCAAAGTTAAACGGCTTTAAGAAACAACTTTTTTTTTTAAAACGGAGTTAAGTTCGAAAGCCCAGTCACTAGGATATTTCAAACGCCCTAAAAACTTCTCTTGTCCGGACGGAAAGCTCTTTTAGGAATCACCAGTAGGTAATACGTCTGAAGGTGTCCTGAGCAAAAGGTTCAACCATTAATCTGATGTTCATGTCAGTAACCGTCCATTTGTTTGTGGAAGCATTTCTTCCCGCCGTTGAAGTTGTTCAGCAGCTCTTAATTCTCTCATCAGAGTGGAAATAGCTGAATCTACCATCTGTCAGTTATTAGCTAAACTTAGCATAAGGGCACCAAGTTGCCGGTGGATACTGGCTGGCATAACTCCGCTTCTAATTTCGCACTTAAGTGTCCGAATTTTGGACAAGTGAACAGCTCAAATTCTGCATTCTCTTCTAATTCTGGCTAATTCAGACAACAGAGATGCTGTACTACGTGATATCTGTACAGGTAGGCCTTGAAATAGCTTTAATCTGATAGAGTTTGGTTGTTTTAAGAAACAAATATCGTAACCATTATATTGTAATCGTCAAGTGGGAACGACGGTCATAAAATGTGTAAATGTTCCTATGGAATATTACTATAGTACGAAGACATTTCCTTGCAAAATGGATAGGAGAAACTACTGCCAGGAAGACACTACAATGTTCACCTAGTCGAAAGCGTAGCTTTGGGTTGAGCTTCTGATAAAATTTAATGAAACTTAACTGAAATCGTATTACTATTCTCTAAGTTTTCTCCTTTAAAGATGTAAGCAGAGCTTTATGCCCGCCAACTTGTTTAAAAATTTTCTACTAACGATTAAATTGGCGGGTATAACATATAATCGATATATCAAAGGATGATCACATCATATTTTATTATTCGAAAACATTTAGTTTTGTTGTCAGAAGTTCTAAAGAAATCTAGAAAGACACATGAAATCAGAAAGCAGTTCGAAATCTGTTCTCAAATTAAAAATTCGATTTACATTTATTGGAGGAAAATAAATAATATTTTTAATGAAGTAATGTGTTTTATTTCAAAAAGAAACTATTTAAAAGTTAGAAGGTTTTGAATAGGAATTGAAATACAACAACAAACATTTTTTAGTTAATTTATTGAAGTTAAGCTAACCATACAACGCTGTGTCGAGTATTCCCAAGTATTTATCATCAGTGGTCAATTATTATTGTTAGGGGATGTAGCACTGCGACCGTCGGGTCTATTGTGCCCCTTCTGGGCTTAGAGTAGGTCCTTAAGCCCTGTTGCGTCAATAAAAGTAGTATAGAATCTACTTTACAGAGTTTTATTGCCTCTTCCGTAAGAATATACATTCCTAGGAGCCTGTTTCGTATGTGCATTAGCGCAGGGCATTCTAACAGCACATGTGTGGCCGACTCCTCATTCTCTTCACAGAATCTACGGTTTGCATTGTAAGTATACCCAGTTTTGTAAGGTGGTGTTTTAGTCTACAATGCCCTGTTAGGAGTATTGATCAGTGGTCAATACTCAAAACAGCTTTGTGTGGTCAGCCAAACTTCAAGAAATTAACTAAAAAATTTTTTTATTGTTGTCTTTTCGTTTTATTTGAACCCCTCTAGCCATATTTTTGTTGGAGTCAAGAGTTTGGTTTGTGTTATAATTAGTCTAATTTTTAGGGTTTTAATTTAAGTAATTTAGACAAGATATTTATATATTAGTCACGCGTATAAAAGAACTGGCTCCATCACAGCTAAAAACATATACCTACAGTGTTATGCGAGTAGTTGATTATGGACTATATAGGTATTATATATTTTGGATGGTTTATATTACTTCAGACATATTTCCACTTTCACATTTCTTACAATTTGCAACTCTAATTTATTTGAAACAAAATTTTCTGTTAAGCAGTGTACATCAGACTACGTGGAATATTCTAGTGCTTAACAGTGACACACTTTCACGTTCTACGTAACTCGTGTTGAAAGCAAAAAACTTAAATTTACTAAAAAATGCTAGAAATTGAAATTAAGAAAAAAAATTTATGTAAAACAAGTGCAACACATACCAGAGCGTGTGTCTCACTCGTGGTTATTAACGAATAAATTGAGGCTGATGTGAAAACTTCAGGTAATTAAAAGGGAAAAGGCTTTGAACGTGAGCGGAAAAGTGCGCACAACTCAGTCACTTTCAAGCTGAATTTGAATTAATTAAACAGGCTGCAGATTTCATTAAATAGTAAAAACACTCCTACTCCCACTCCCACTTCCACTCTCACTCCCACTCCCACCCTTCAACACCTAACATCATTGTAGAATTCAAGCATATAAGTTTCAGTTTATGTCTGTATGTAATTATGCAAAACATCTTCCGTAAGAGGCGTAAATCACAGGCTCAGTACTCATTTCGAATAACAGTGAAATTACAACAAACACCTGAGGAGTTACGGCTGAAGACATCACTAAAACACTAGTCAAGTTATTCTACAATCATGAACTCATTTCACATGCTCCCCTCGAAAGAGGGATGGATGGACGTGAAACGTGGAAATATGCTCAACACCGTGTACTTTGTGCGACCTACTCTTCTACTTTTCACGCGACCTTCTATGATACGTGATGGCGGCGCAATTGACAGACGCACTTTTAAAATAATTTCCATGATAATGAGATGCTATTTTAAAGGATGTTGTAACGTTGTCATTGTTGTTGTTGTTGTAATTGAAATCGCGTAAAATAGGTCTACATTGCGTTGGCGTTTGGTGGGTGCGATAGGTGTGGGTTTAAATGTATTTAATGGGCGTTTTATATTAGATGTGCTTCATGCCTTAACGCAATTTCTACTTTAATAATGAAGTGGAAAAACTAGTCTGTATCGAAAACTGCACTTAAAATACATTTTGTCTGTTCCATACTATATTCAATATCACGGAGAGAACTTCGAAATATTTTGCATTCAGATGTTGCAATGGTTGCGGGAGATATTGATGTCTGAGATACCTATTTTGTTGAAAATAGTCCGATCAAAGATCCCTAGTCAATTTAAATATACTTTTAATTTAGTGAGATGATTCTGATTGAGACCATTATAAGATTGTATAAGTACTTATATCTTTTTAGAAAGCGACCAAGCAACAGATTATTATTATTATTATTGTTAGGGAATGTAGCACTGCGATAGATGGGTCTATTGTGCTTCCTTGTGGGTTTAGACCAGGTCTCTAAGCTCTATTACGTCAATAAAAAGTAGTATAGAATCTACTTTACAGAGTTTTATTGCCTCTTCCGTAAGAATATACATTCCCAGGAGTCTATTCCTTATGTGCATTAGCGCAGGGCATTCTAACATCACATGTGTGGCCGACTCCTCATTCTCTTCATAGAATCTACAGTTTGCACCCGTAAGTATGTCCAGTCTTGTAAGTAACAGATTAGGTAATGATGCAATTTTAATTTAATAATAGATAGTGATAGGAGCAACTACTCACAACTAATTATTAGAATTTCAGCCCTCTTCAGCCCTCCGACCGTTAGGTCGGAAGTTTCTGTTTTCTTGTCAAATTAAGCTGTCTTCAATAATAAGAATTTGGGTTTCTCTTTAGTTAGGGTTAAAAAGTAAAACATAAAACAATCATAGTAGCAGAACCCTATTCCACGGGAGCCAATACCTCTTTAATTTTCTATTCAATTCTATTCTAGTGAAAACATAAAGAGATATCAGGTATGGGATCCTGTTCTACGGGAGCCAATACCGCTTTAATTTACTATTCAATTCTATTCTAGTGACAACACAGAGATATTTGGTATACGATATTAGGTTATAAGCTTATTTTGAGATACTCCAATGTTCATTTCGTGTATTTAATTTCTGTTTTGATAGTAACGCTGTATATAAGTCCAATATCAGTATTAGAAATTATACGTGGCCAGAAAACGTGGTAAAGGATTCAGAGACACTTATTTAAATATGTTAGCAGTTTTCGGTAGATGTAATCTATGACTTACTAAGTAGAGTAGGACTGGCTTATGTTTATTTAATACTTGCAGATATATTGGTTTTACCCTTTCTGTTTTCAGTGTTGAGTATCTTGAGATACTCAAATATAACCTCTTTGGTGTCATCAGCTATGGTTAGAGTGTGATTGTACTTGACTGCAATTCGTATTAGTTTTTTTTTAACACTTCAGCATTCTCAGACAAAAGAGAAAAGTTTTATTCTGACTTCTTCCAATGTGTGGGTTAGTTAACATGGATCATCCACGTTATCTTAAGCAGAAAGATTCAAGAATGGTAGCCATTGGATCCATCTGTATTTTCAATACTAGTTCTCTTTAGGAGAGCGTCGAAAACAACTATGAATGAGAATGATGAAAGTACACAACCTTAATGAATAATTTTTGATATTGTCTAAGTAGTATCTTCAGTTGTGGCTTACTTAATTTCTTGTTCAGTTGGAAAACTTTATCACGTTTTAGTTAACCCTTCACACCCATTATTTATTAGAAAGTTTTCTTTCGTAGTATATTTTGAATACGATAATGGCCTACATTATATCGCATTTGACATATTTTCTATTTAATTCGTTTACATTAAATATATTGTTAAATTTTATTGGTGCATGGTTATTTAATAATAAAACTTTAAGAACTATTAGAAATCTATATTCTTTCGTATTGTTGAAGTTTGTCCCATGTCACTTCTAAGTATTCATCTCATCGTCTACTAACTAAGATTTTTAACATTCTCTATCCATTTAAATCATTTTTTCATAAAATCTTCCAATTTTAATCTACCACCGCAATTACTGTCAGTTTAGGTGATGGAATGCTGATGAAATTACTTACGAGGAAATACAAAGGAGCACACATTCAAAATGACTTCAAGTGACTCAAAGTGAAAGTGACTGGCAATCAACAATGTTGTTGCGACAAGGAAGTGACGACGTTGACAAAACTGAAGTGAATAACGTCAAATAGCAATAAAACGACAACATCGTTAGTCTCTGACGTGATTTTATGAGTATTTAACATTCAATGTCTACTTAAGCACAATTAATTTTCAATTCCCTACACCACTAGACAAATGACACTTAAACTTCAATAACGTGTTGGAAATTTTACGACAGCCTCATTGTCATCATAGTATACTGCCACTTTTTTCTACAATAATGATATCAGTCTGATTTCCATAAGCTAATAGGTCACTTTATAGTGGAAGAACATAACTGATTTGAAGGACAAATATTTCAACGCAGTTTGTTTTTCTTTTTCAGGTATCACAATTTGATCTCTGAGACTGTTTAAGCATACTGACTTATTGAATAATACAATATATTAGAATTAAATGTAATATAATTACAATTGAGCTGTCTGGAGCTGTAGTAATAGAATTCCTTCCTTCCTTCAGGCTAAAGTTTAGAATATTCTCCTGGAGGCATGCCTGTTAAAATAGGCGACTACAACTCATTAGCTATCATTCTGTATTGTCTTGGAATAGTACTAGTAGCATATGGATTACTTTTGTGACACGTGACTATAGTTATGTATCCGGTAACACGGGATCCTTTTACTCACCGTGTAGGCTTAACGTGGTGACCCGTTATGACGGTTTAATACAACGTTGTTCTAAACACATTTATCATTTAAAGTATGAAGACATTCGAAAACTTCCTCCGAAGGAGCTGGTTCGATTCCTCGAGATACTAAATATTTAAATACAAAGGGCTGCACAATAGATCAAACTGGTCGCAGTACATAATGGTCTTAGCCTAACCTGAAACTCCCAAAAAACTCCCATTCCAAACACACTTATCAAGCTGTATGCACACCTCTTAAAAAAAATTCCGTTAGTACTTATAATAATTATATATTTTTATATTACTTTATACTTGTTGAGGAGAGAGAGATTCATATAAACTTCTACTGTTCTTTGAGTTACATTACCCGGTTGAAAAAATGCAACTCAAAACGCATATTAAGATATGAGTTATTCTTTTACAAATCGAACACCCTTTTGACCTCATCATCTCCGATTTAGCTGAAATTTTTTTCATGAACTCTTTTCATGAAATAAGAAGAAAAGATTTTCAAGTTTTTTTCAGCCAAATCGGAGGTAATGAGCTCATTTTTTTTCCAAAATCCGTCCGATTTGTGAAGGAAGACTCATATGCACTTCGTGAAACAGTTTCCACTGGTACTTATTTAGTTACAACTTTCTAGTGGTTAAGGAAGTTTCTTCTGTTCTTTGGGTCGCATAACTCTGTTGAGTATGTTAAATGTAAATGTGACTATATGCAGCGTGGTTTGAGTATCACAAAACTCCATTGCGGAGTCAATCCCGTGTTCTGGTACCAATGGAATTTATTTTAAGGGACGCATAGTTTTATCCGTGTGTTTAGAATACTGTGGTGTAAAGACCAACAGCCAGGAGCCACGTAAAATAATTAGAACACTTGTACATAGTTAAGAAAAAGTATAAGACTGTTAAGATAATGTTATGGACTCATGATCAGTCTATATGGTGTCTGCTACAGGTTTATTCTTAAACATAATATATTCCATAAAAATAAATTGAATATTTACCGATTTCACGTAACGTACTCGACCGTTCCTTACACGTTTGATAAGATATTTCCTTTCCTTCCGTCTTACGATTATTTTTCTAATTTCAGTTTTTTCTTTTTGAAAATAATTAAAAACAAAAACTTTGACAACTTAAAACATTTTATTTTCGTTAATGTAAACGTAATTTTTTTTTTTTTTTTTTTTTTTTTTTTTGTATTGTTGTCTTTTTAATAAATACAAGACTCGACAACTTGCCAACCAGCGGAACTGAGTAACAACAATGCATGTTACGAGCACAAGGATAAGGGCTAAGGAATTTATTGTTTGGTGCTTTCCTGCTGCTGATTCCTTTAAACGCTTTCCCAAAACAATGTGCGGTTGTGTGTGCGTGAGTGACGGCATTTACAGGGATGACAAACAGGTAAACAGGGATGTGAGTGAAGCGTGTGGCGCTGTGTGAACAAAGTGGCCGAAAGCTACCACTTCCTCCAAAACTTTTTCCCCCGACTGCACTCACAGAAATAGAACAACGCACCGCAGCGCTCCCAAATAAATAAGTAAGCCCCAGCAAAGGAGGAAATTACTGAACTAAACGTGGAACTCAACTTAAATGAAGTAGTCGCAGGCAGGAATTTCATTTAATTTGTGCTCAAGTCAAAATTATTTTATTTACTTTTTTCTTGTACTTTTTGTTGTTTTGTTTTTTTGGATAGTTGTTGATATTGTTGTCCTTGCTATATAATCTGTGGTGGTGATGAGTCGCTCGCACTTGTCGTTGTCTTCAACTTTATGATAGTTTTTGTTATTGGTGCTGTTATTGCAGTAAGCAGCCGACCCAACAATTGGTTTGCTACTTTAAAGTTGAGTCACAACTTCATCACGATGGAAGTGATGGAATGTTTCGACGAAAGCATGTACCAACAGTGAAACATCCTGACACATTCACATTCATATAAACACATGGACGTAGTTGTAAAGTCAAACACTACCGTGAATATACTTCATAACTTATGAGTGCACCAAACATTTTGTTATGGCACTGAACATAATGAATGCCATTCTTAAATGTAGTCGAAAAGTTCAGTACACGCATATATATTCTGTACGCCCCGCATATACTTCATACCCTGCATACCCTACAAAGCCCATATAACATGAAGTCACATTAAAAAATTGTAATAAACTGTCACGTGACGTTATTTTGTTGGATTATACAACTTTATCCTTCCTAGATCCGTCCATCCACATTTTTTGTGTGGGTTTGTATGTCTGTTGGAGAGCTTACAAGTCAACAGCTATGGATGAAGGTGTGGACAGAGACGGAGAGACGGAGCTGAAGTTGGAGTAGTTGTTACAGTATTTGACATTTATGGAAGTTTTTGTAGTTTGTGGATTTTAATGGAAAAATTTGTATGGAATTTGTAGGATTTCCGAACTTGACTTCCCAATTTGTTTACCTATTTCAATGTGGTTTGATGTGATGAATTCAGGTTTTTATCTTTTCAAAATAATGGAAGAATATTTGCAGAATTTATATTTGTTGTTAAAATAGTTTTTCTAATAAAATAACACAAATTGATGTGGATATATTTGAGATCATCTACGCAAAACCTTAGATATTTGTGGAGTGAAAAATTTATCACATAAAATTTGGATGAAATAATGAAGAAAGCTATTGGCTCCATACAGTCTTTAATTCTTTAAGGTGAATAAGGAAGGAAAGCTTATTCGTCGACAAGATTTATGAGCACAAAGAGTTTTAGGGATTACTGATTACTATTATTAATAGAAGATACATAATGATCCGTGTGATATTTCAAGTCAAATGTAGCCACGGTTGTCACTTGAAAATTTTTTTCTGTACCAAAATTGGTTTAAAAAGGTACCATTTCTGTAAAATAAGGTCCAAAATTTTTTTGGACCTTTTTGATTTTTCGTTCGGTGTTTTTCATAGTATTATAAATGAACAAAATATAAAATAGTGCAAAGTTGCATTTATAAAAAAAAATTAATTGGAAATATCCACTAAAAGTTGGGTCGTCAAAAATGTACCATTTTTTGAACATGAGTACCAAACGAAAAAAAAAGTACCAATTTTGGTACTAAAGTACCATAAGTGGCAACCGTGAATGTAGCATTATTGTTTTATTCAATGTAAATTAAAAAATTGAGAATTAGAGTAATAGATAAGTTTCCGTGAGAGAAGTGTTCTTCAGTAATAATTGTCAGAATTTTTGCCTTTTAGAAGTAAGTATGTGTATTTTTATGTGATTATGTAAGCAAATCCATAAAATTGAGTTCTTTTTATATTTAGGTCCAATAAAATTCTAGCAGAATATAAGTAAAAATACGAAATTAAACTCTGTAACGGTCCCTATCACGTGTAGGTGTTCTAACCCATACAACCCATACAATAGCATAGGTCGTCTCTTTGCAGATCGCACACAAACATAGACTATGCACTCTCGGTATGACAAGTGACCTTGTGAAATGACTGTCTGTAAAATAATCGATTAAAATGCTTTAAAGAAATGCTTAAAAGATAAACGGATTCTATTATCGTGTACTCTATTAAATTTATTTTAACTACACCTTTTTCTATAGAATTCAGTATTAATAATGGTTATTATATATATACAAAATGAGAATTATAGTAGATTATTAAATAGGTTATATGTTATATGTTAAATTAAAAACGCACACGTGATATACACTTTTGTTAAATACTTCAGGCGGATATCTTCAAACAAATAAAACAATACCATATGTGGCGTTTGAGAATTTATTCACAGATGTACCCTTGAACTTAACCTAATCTTACTTTTGAACTGTGGGTCTGTTCCTCAACTATGCAAACTAAAGTGTGCAGAAAAATTTGATTACATTTTGAATTTGCTATTCCCCAACTGTGAATAGTGAGTTCTTATGTGAAAAAGTATAAACTTTCTTCTCATTTAAGAGGAATGTGTCGAATATTCATATAGAAAGTCAATAACTGAACTTATTTGATGAATACCCGAATATTTTATTAGAAATTGTGATTAATAAGGCTGAAGTTTTCTGTGAAACTGCATTAATGAATGCTACCTAAGATCCTAATCTGGATTTTGAGATTTAAATAACAGTACGATGGTTACTCTTTTGAGAATATGAGATTAAGTATAACATGAACGGAACTTTAAAATGTCAAAAAACTGTCCAAAACTTAACATTTCCTCTACATGCATTTATGTTTAAAATCACTACTGTTAGTATTGTCCACTTCCCTCAGTTAGGCATAGGGCCTCAATAAATGTCGCCCCAAGTATGTTATACCTTGTTTCAGCTAACTCATTTTCGACCGTTCTTCTCCATGCTTTCGCTGGCGCACCAGGTCTTTTGCTACCTTGTGGATTCCGTGTCAGCGCTTGCCTCGCTATGTAATATGTCGGTTGTCTAAGCGTATGGGCTATCCACTTGCATTTTTTCATTTGTATCTATATTTTGAGAGGTTTGGTTTAGCAGACGTTTATTTAATATTCGATCTGACCAAAATCTAATTCTACGAAATCAGAATTATTAGTAGTCGATAATAAAAGCTAGTGTAGGGGAAGATGGCTGTACTTTTGACAATTAAAAACAATTACTTCCTCAGATACCCGTCAACATAAATTACGGGAATTGCATTGGATCAAATGGATGGGTCTTTATGAAGCCTTCTTAATTTAACGAATTGAGGAAGAAAATGTGAAATGCTCTGAGTTATACGTACAAGAGATGTATGAGTATATCAGTTTTGATTGAATTATGATATGCGAAATAAAAAAATTCACGTTATTAGGGACCGGTGAGTTGGCAATTCCTTAATTCAAATTTTTAGTTTACCTGAAAACTATTCATGAGTGTAGTACATTTTTAAAACTATTTGAAGTTTCTGATATAAAGTATTCAAAAATTAATGAAACTTTTTATGTTCTGGAGTAATTTATATTATTTGGCAGTTATCTATAATCCAGCTTGGTGTCCTTCAAAGTAATAAACTATTTGTAATATACTCTTTGTATGTATTGAAACAAAACCTTATTTTCTAATATATTATACTGCAATTTCGTATTTTATGTTTTCTATGGATCACTTTACTTTATATTATTATTACTTCATTTTATTACTTTACTTTACTATTTACTTAGTTGGCCATTACAGACGTGAGTCGTCTTTGGCCGCGTCGAGTACTCTGCGTGAGTTGCTTGTTGTTGCCAGTTGGTAGTACCGAGCGCACCCAAATCGTTAGTCATCTGGTCCTTTCACCGAAGATGCGGACGTTCTCTACCGCGTTTTTTACCTGCAGGTACCGAATCAAAAACCTTTCTAGCCGAAGTCCAAGTTAAAATCATTCATTAGTTATTATTATATATAATTTACTATATAATCCAATACACGATTTAAACGAAATACATTTTTTTTCTAGATTGTATAATTGAGTTATAATTAAAATGTTTTCTTTAAAATAAGATGTTTCCAATGCCTTATATAGTCACCAATCCCTAATCCTTGATTTAACGTTGGTACTGTAATGAGGTTTCATATATTTCTATTAGACTATCGCAAAAGTGAATGTGTATCAGTCCTTGTTTTTGTTGGGCATAATAAGAATGGATATCATATCCTTTATCAAAGAACTATTAACTTTCGTGCGATTGCTAGTGTGCTCGTTGAACTCTATATCCATTTAGCCTGGACTTAAGCAACCTTACGACTTAGTGAGTTACTATATATAACAATCCTCGTTTGTGCTGCCACCAATAGGAATAATGGATATCGCAGGTTTTATCGCAAATTGACCGACATACGCGCGGTCCCTAGCGTGTTTGTTGGACACTACATATATCCCTCTTGGCCTGGACTTACGTTATCTTCTTGTTTTTTATTTTAAATGTCAGTTATAGTTTGTGGTGATAATTATAAGATGAAATATCGACTTTCGCGAGGTTTTTAGCGGATTCATTGAACACAATATCCGTTTGACTTGGACATAAGTTATCTAGGAACTATTACTTAGTTAGTTGATATAATTTCTGTATTCATTTATAACCAGTTAATGATACAGTGTATT